TCTGATGTGAAGAGGGGGGGGGACTGATGTGAAAATGGGGACACGTACAGTATGTGAAAATGGGGACACGTACAGTATGTGAAAATGGGGACACGTACAGTATGTGAAAATGGGGACTCTAAAGTGAATAAGAAAATATGATCAAATCACTAAACATAACTAATTATTACTTTCACTTCCTTTCCTTTTAATAGGAGAGCATTTTGTGTACCATCTATACCATGCTGATATACTACACAGCATTCATAGAGCAAAAAAAGAACACTCATTAGGATTATTTTCCTTGTACAGCTTTGACATGGCCCTAAGAAGAAGTGGCCACACACAGGCCCTTATGTATTTAGTTTTTCTTCCACCTGTGCTTGATAGAGGCATTTGTGCCCTTAGTAAGGGGCCAATTTATAAAGCAGCAGCATGGCCTAACCACCACCATGCTGTGGTTTTTCAAGCAAAAAATATTGGGTACATCTGTGTGCTTTACAAATGTGCTTTGGTTGCTTCAGCTTTCGAAGCAGGTGAAGTCCTATTAATTCTAATGAACTGGCAAAAAAGTGCCAATATGAGAAAGCCTGTCACATGACTTTGACAGGTCATGTGAATGGGCCTTCTTCTTAACTGGGAATGTTCTTTGCAGCGTTATGCTGTATTTTATGAATAAAGTATGAATTGCAGTGTGGAGTGATAAGAGGTATGTCCTGTGAAGTGATAATAGTTATGTCCTGTGGTGTGCAAAGAGCAGATATAGCTCTCTGTTTCAAATAAAGGCTGATTTATAAACGGTTTGCCCAGTGTAGAGCATATAATTAGTAAGGGGTTTGCCCAGTTTGTAGCTGGGCAAACACCATTTTCACAGCATTACTGCCGGTAGATGTAGCCAAGGAGCACAGGAAATTCTCAGCTATAAGCGCGGAGAACCCTTTATAAATCAGCCCCCTAGTGTTTTCTCCACAGTAAAGCTTGATTCTTTCTTACATTCTTATTTAAACAGTGTAAATAGCTCCTAGAGTTCTTTGGACACTCTGTGAAAAAATTGTGTTTTTTACACTATTTTATAAGGTACTTTTGAGTGGTGGGCAGTCTCTGGTTACCCAGGCAGTCTCATCATGCTTTAGGCCTGGGAATTCCAGAACAAGGCTTTTTTGGATTAGTATTTAATAAGGGTGAGCATGAGGTGTGAACAGCCATGTCTGGTACAGGCTACAAATACAGCATGCTTTTTAATGTATGGTTGTTAGTTAAGAATCACATAGTGCCTCTAACTTCTAAACTACTGCTTATGTACAGCACTTGAGAAAGGGCATTGTGTAAATCAATTCAAAAAGTTAATGTGAGGTTTATGTGAAACACTGTTATTATGTTTATTAGGGAATTGTGAATAAAAGTTCAAAAATTGCAGGTTTTTGATATACTAATGACATTGTCCATTTTATGTCCATTCTTTTGTACAGCTGGAAATACCATTTAAGTTAGTTGTGTAGCTATGATGTTGTAAATGATAAGGTTACTATACATGTAGTTCTTTGGGACTATGTGATAAAATTGGTAAGTGCATGTTCAGTTTCTGATTGATGAGCAAACAAGTGTGGCCTGGCATGGGGGAAAGAAAATAGAATTCTAGGGTGGATCACCAACCTATATAGATCTTTAGTTAGACCTCATTTAGAATACTTTGTCCAGTTCTGAAGAACTCACATCAAAAGATATTGATAACACATGTAGCGCCCTCCTTACCTCCAGAGGCCTGAGGTGGACCCCCAAAGGGTGTGGAGGGCTGACATTTCACTCTCAGGGGTGGATCCTTAGTCAGTGAAAGGATGCGATTAATAAATTGGGCAACAATCACTTTAAGGGCTTTTTCAATGCTTTATTAACGAACAGAAAAACTGGGAAAGAGGGCATAGGGCTTCAGACATCCATGACATATAGACTCCAGACTCACCAATCCCTTCACGCTTCCACAGTGCAGGAATACTTAGTAAAATAGGAACTGGCACTGTGCAGTGGAACAATAGCTGAATAGGATGAGCATGAGATCTTCCCTGGGAGAGACACCAGACTTGTTCCTAAGATCCATGTCAGCTCTTGGTACCTCCAACAGTCTTGGGGCTCCTCTGGTTCTCTT